AAAGCTTATCTATAACATCTTCAAATGTAAGCTTGTCCATATAGGTAATACCTTAGATCACCATTTTGTAGCTTTACAGCAGACCATTGAGGACAATATTAATTGATATCTTGTTGGCAATGACTTTACCAAAGACCTTTACCTGATTCTTCATGTAAATAGTCTCTATGAAATATGTGCTTATATCTCTTTCTTTCTTCATCAACATTCCATTTAACTTATTTGTTAAAAAGATTATCTGTTATTGATTTCTTATATTGAATATTTTCTTAATCATATCTCATATATTGTTGGATCACTATTTTGTAAAATTGTTTCAATCAAATTTTTTGCTATTGACATTATAAATTTTCATTGAGCTCTATGTTTTGTTTTTGCTAATTATGTCTTTGTATAGGATCTTTTCACTATAGATATTGAAAATGAGGTTATTGATCTCTTGGTTTTTACAATATCCTACAAGTTTTCTTCTTTCAAAATCACATTCATCTTGAGTTTTTAGACACAATAATTTTGAGCTCCTATCATTTTTTTGGACTCTCCTAATTCAAAATATGACATCTTTTCTCTAATATCCTAATATCCTTAATAATATCATGTTTGCTCTAATACCATATTGCTAATATAAAGTCAAGAGAGTAATTTTATTTTATACAATTGTTATATTTATATTTGAATTTATTTGCTGTAATAATCTTTAATTAGGATAACTTTGTTTTTTTACCTAACCCTAATTGCAACATGGATTGGATGTTGTGGAATCAATGATAAACTAGATAAGGACTAGAAGTCAGCACATAATCAAAAACGCAAGTTGGATATCACCAACAACATGTTTTTCTAAAGCCTTTTACTTCATTTTAAAGACCACCCACAAAGAATAATGTGGACAAGTCTTCAAAAGGACGGGCATTTTTTTGCCATGGAGATGAGGGATCTTTAACTTTTTAATTTTTTTCTACCTGAGTCACCAAAATTGAATTCAAAAACTCTAATCTAAGGTGGCTGATTTTATCTCAGAGTTTTATGAGACATTAGATTTGCAGTCCTCATTGAATATATGCATATATCAGTATTAGCAACTTCATCAAAAGATTCTTTTTAATAAAGAAAACTAAAAAAATTAATAATATTTTACAGCTTTAAGTAAATTCATAGAGATTAAAGTTAGGATTTTGACAAAACTAAAGTAGAACATGTTAGAATTAAGGTGCTTGGATTTTTTTTAGAAATTTGTTATAAACACTTAAATATGCCTGTCTTATAAAGAAAAATAAATTAATTAATAAAGGTTGTACCAAAAAAGAAGTGATTGTAGAAAGAATAAATGAAATAATTTATAAAAGATCTGTTCATAAGATTAATACCTAAAAATGTAGAATATAAATATGATTGGATTATTTATTAATCCGCAATACATTTTAAAGAGGCATATTAAAGATCTAAAAGGAAAAAAAGAAAAACATATGAATAATTCTAAAATCTTTTAAATTAATAATCAAGAAGAACATGTTAAAAATCTAAATAAATATAGACAAGCTAAGATAAGACTAAATGACCAAATAAATAGAATCAATTTTTTTGTAGTGGTTTTAAATTACTAAAAATATTATATTATAATATAAGAAAGATTTTAATTGTATTGTGGCTTAGATACTAAATATTATAAATAAAATAAAATAATTTAATAAAAAAAATGTGATTATTTTTTAATAAAAATATATACATATATATATCTACATATAAAATAATAATATATTTTTAGAATAATATTTTATACTTTAAATTTTCTACAAAGATTTATTGAAGAAACAAATATTCTTAAAAGATTAAGAAAACTTGATTTAAATCTATACAAAAAATTCAAAAAATACAATATCTTTTTCTAAAACTTATTAATTCATAATTTTATTTTTTTATATCTTTTCAAATTTGGATGCCAAAAATATATATATATGAATCTATTTATTTTTCATGAATTATGAATAAAATTATGAATAAAATTATGAATTATTTTATTCATAATTACATTTATATATAATTCATAAATAATTTTATTCATAATTTTATTCATAATTATTCATAATTCATAATTTATATATAATTCATATTTAATTCATAATATTTTTCTAAAAATTATTAATTCATAATATTATATATATTTCATTCTATCTTTGGATCAACATTGAGGTTAAATCTTAAATTGCCAAACACAACCTAAGCAAAGAAGCACATTTTTTAGTCAATTTAAGTTGTGTAGAGGTCACAAAGGTGTAGCAATATCAATAAGAAAGGTATTGTTAACAACTCCCTATATATATAAATATATGTATTAAAATTAAATTTACAAAAATAAGTATGATGATTTCTTAAATTTCATCTTGACATATTATTGTCAAAGATACATTTTTTTTAAAATGAAAGTTTTTCTAATTTCATGATTAATTTTGATTAACCATTAAAAAAAAAAGTTAGACATAAATTTTTTCTAAATTTTAATTTAACAAAAATAATATTTTTTTTTAAAAAAATTGAAAAGAAATCTTACAATTTTAATTTTATAAGTAGAAGAATGAAGAGATTCAATTGCAAGCTTTATCAAAGTCAAACAATATATGTAGATATATATCAATAATAAGAGATAGTTTTTTATTTGATTTATACTTTTTATTATCATATTCTTATCTAATTAGTCTTGAAAATATAATCTATTTGATTATTTCTAAAAATATTTGGTATTACTTCTTTAGATTTTTATAAGAAATAGCTCAATACTAACAATTTATAAAGTGTCAATTATTCTAATTAGCTAAATACTATTGATATAATTTATTTATTTTTACAATAAAAATTTAAATATAAAATATAATTTAAAAAATATGTGATACAAGTCATTTAGAAGATCATGATTTTAAAAAAATCATAAGTTTTCTTATAAAATATATAGATTATTAAATAATCTTGTTGTATTTTTAAAATTATTAAAAGAATCTTAGGAGGACAATTTTTTCCATTATTGATTATCCTTCAGAATTGATTCTCAGACGTTATTAAAGTACTATTCTAATAAAGATTTTTATATGTATCTTATATATATGTATGTATAGTTTTAGTAATTTCTTAAAGAACACTTGTAATTTTTTATTTTTTTTAAACATTAAAATAACTTGAAAGTATTATATGTTTTGTATTATTCAAACTTTTAATAAGATCTAATAAGCAAGATGAATTAAAGAAAATTTTAGTTAGTAATTTAAAATATATGTGTCTACATATATACATATATACATATTTATTGCAAGTGTGAACTAAAAACATAGATAATTCAAGAAAGGTCACAAATTATTCTTTTTAGTGAGTTATTTTGCAAAAAATAACATATAAAAATATTTTTTATATGTAATAAGTTAAATTAGCTTGTGATATAAATTTTATTTATTAAATTAGAACCAAATTTTTATTTTTAATTTTAAATAATTTTTCTTTAATTAATTTTTTATGTTATAAATTCTTCTACATATCTATTTATAAATAATTCATAAAGTAACAAAAGAGCTGATGCATAAAGAAAATTGTACAAACATTTTTTCAAATTAGATGTTGTACTTACTTCTTTTTTTATGAAAAATTTAAAAAATAATATAAATAGATTAATTATAGAATGATAAATTAATATTAATAATGATGTATTTGATAAAAGAAAAATTACAAAACTCTTACTATTTTTACTTACACTATTTAAATTATACATATATTAAAATATTTCATCAAAGAGAAGACAATTTAATTATAATTTATTTATTTATCTTGTTTTCTTTTTATTTGAAATATTTTTATGCATAGACGAAATATTTGTTAAAGAAAAAATCCAAAAATTATAGCTATTCTTATAAATAATAAAACTTGAGATTTTTTGACCTTTTCATATTATATAAAAAAAAAAAAAAAAAAAAAAAAAAAAAACCTGATTTTTATAAAGTGATAGAAGATTAGAAAAGTAGCTGTTGCTATTTATGACAATTTTATTGATATTATATATATCCTAAAAATAGACTATATATATTTTTTAATTATACTAATTAATACATGAAATAAGAATCTATCCTACTTTGATGGTGAATTTTTTGGTTTTGTGCATGAAGAAGACCAAGAGTGTAGGGGAGAGAAAATAAATATAGGTACTGAAAAAAAAACAAAACAAAACAAAACAAAACGAACGAACGAACAAACAACAACCTCTAGAGACCAGATTTATGAAACAAAAGATGAATTGTTATGGCATAACATGCTTTGGTAAATGACTTTTTTACATCCTCCACAGTACAGTTTTTGTCTTCTAATTGTTGGATCAAAGAGTTAAGTGACTGAACAGATAGATAGATGAATGGATGGGTCTTCACCTGTAACCTACAATACAATCAGGATACAAAGACATGAAGCCTATTACTGTGAAAAAATTGCTGTGAACTCATAATTCTAAAAGGTGAAGGAAGAGAGCATGGGATCAACCTTACATTGCAATTCAGAGTCTCCTATATTGTCCAATCCATCGGAATTGCTTCCTCTAACCTGGTTCGTTCATTCAACAATTTTACACAATTCAAGCACATGATCTATCACTTTTCATGAAAAAAAAAAAAAAAAAAAAAAAAAAAAAAAATCTAAATGTAAAACATCATTCAAACACTACACACTTCTCATCAAAACGATCGCATGGAGCTGTGATCACCACGAAGTTGTGAATGTGTTGGACACCATCCTCCGAACAAAACAAGAAATTTAGCTCTTGAAACGTGGATTTTGTCGAAGTGTTACGAAGGTTGCAAACGATGAGGAATCTAATCACCACCTCATCAGTCAAAGCCATGAAAACAACAGAATTCAAAGTCCACAAGCAGAAGAAGAAGAAGAAGAAGAAAATTCAGTTATTTCGGAGAGGATCATGCAAAATTTTCAAGCCCATTTGCAGTGAATGCGTGTCATTGTAGCAACCAAAGAAATGTGCAGCAGAATACCACCAGGTTCTGGTGTCGACGAATCAGTATATTACAGTGCAGTGCGCCCTATACATCATGATATTTATATTCTATCAATCATCTCAGCAACACTCCAACGTCTGCTCAAGAATTCTCACTCCAGGTTTACAAAGCTCTCAATGTGTAAATTACAGGCAACAGGCTGACTGGCGAAAATTTCGATTGCAGAAAGCTGTCTCATGGTGGCAGAGATCATGCAAGCAACGCCGGAGAGACGCTTCCGTCAAGGTCAGGGAAGAATGAGAGGCACCCCTCGTAGCTTGCAAGTGAAGATGTGGGCCGCGAATCTAGTTCCGGATGAGAGTTTGACAAAAGATCCTCCAGGAAATCTGTGTCGAGGTCTTGCAACTCCAGCGCAACAGGAGTTGTCTCTGGGTCTGCTGCAGTTGTTGATGCTGCAGAGGGTAATGAAAATGGAGACTCAGCCTTGACAGAACCCATGTCTAAAACCTCGGTTGTAGAATTGGCGCTAGTGGAGGAAGTCTCAGATTTAAGGGTATTCTCCTCCGTCTTACAGGGGGATGGTGGTAATGTTGGAAGTGTGGCTTGGAGTGGGAAGTTGAGAAGCGCTCGACATCCTCGCATTTTGAACGCTGCGGCATCATATGCCATGGCTGCTTGCTCCGCTGTGTCAAATGTGCCCAACCAGACGCGTGCGCCCTGTCGTGCCGAATCCCGGATCTCGGCTGCGAATTTCCCCCATGGCCGTTGCCGAACACCGCGATAGTGCGGAATACTACGCACAACTTTTGGTAGGGAAGCCTGTATGTATGATCCTCGTGGGGCAGTGGATGAGACGATCAGGTTTATGCTTGAGGGTAGATTGCCCGGCTGCTCGCGCTTGAAGAAGCCCATGGCAGCAGCCTCCGGAAACGCGTGCCGTCTCGGCTGAGCGCGCATAACGGGGGATGGCTTGGCTGGAGGTGGAGTCTTTCCCGCACCGAGAAGCACTTGGCACAACGCAGTCTCCTCAGAATCATTCTCGTTGAGAGGGAACTGTGTTGCACGCTCGTGGAGTTGGGATGGTGCGGCTCCACCTCCGCTGGATTGATTCTGCCAGTCTGACCACAACCTTGACTCCTCCCTTGTGTGCACTACGGCTGAATTTGGATCGGTAGGACTCGAAGATGGCCATGTCGTTGCTTGTTTAGCGACACATCCCTGCGCTAGAGATTTCACATAGGGTGGAGTTTGCGAGGACCAATCGAGCCGCGATGATGTGGTAGCTAAGCCGGCTTCTTTTTTCACAACTTGGCCAATGGTTTCTGCAAAGTTAGGGCCCAGAGAATGGCGCAGCTGGTTCGAAAGTACCCAAGCTCGGTGGCAGGGTTTCTTCTGTTCCTCGAAATGAGCATTCTCCACTGAGCGAGACCGCTTCAACAATGTGCGCCCCGTCGAATGAAGCGACGTTGGAGATGTTTCACATGCAGAAACCAGCTCGTTGCTTGGAAATGTCTTAGAAGCAAGCGCTGCCAGTTGATCACAATTCAGAAACTGCGAGTTAAACGTTTCCTTTGATGCCTGCTGCGCTTGTTGCAAAACTTCCTCGGTTTTGGTGAAATCTAGCCCCGTATCCTTCCCTTCCAACAGCCCCCTGCCTCTCTTCGTTGACGCAAAACTGAAAATATTCATTCTCAACAACGACGCAAAAATTCGCAACTCTTACAGTGAAAACAGATATCAAAAACTTCAAACCCCAACTTTTCTTTGCCTTCTCCCGCACATATACAACGTCCCCTCCTCCTTCAATCTTATTTCAACTCAGTAAAGCGCACGCCATTGCCCATCATGCTCATCAACTCAACTTATCCTCATCAATCAAAGGAAACCAAAACCCTACATGGAAATAACACTCTCTGAAAACAACCAACACAGTCACGCTCCACACTGAAAGAAAACCCTTTATCATCTACACTACCTCGACCCTTGCGTATCTCCCCACAAGAAAACAACCCACTGATTCCAGCCTCAACTCCTCAATCAATCAATCTCTTGCCACCAAATTCATCTTGTGGACGTTTGCTCCTTAGAGTACAATTCCACTCTACGTTTCGTTTGTAGCCCTCAAGACCGATAACGCCCACAATGCAACTCGTCGCAAACCCTCACTCGGTATTCCCTCTCTCTCTCTCACACACACACACACACACGGTCGTAGCTGAACCCCGAAGACTATCTCTACAAGCAGGTGTTGGTCTTAATCCCAGATATTCTTTCGGGTCTGCACACTAGACTCCTCGACCCAGCTCTCCTACTTTTGAACAAATTGTCGCAACTGCATCCCACGCCAAGAACCCAACAACGAAGGTCACCTAAAGAAGCTCGCCACCCCATCCAGACCCTAAAATATTAAAAAATAAATAAATAAATAAATAAATAAAAACACCAACAAGGACGCTTATTGGCCACTACAACTGCAATCTTCTCTCAGTTTTTGTTTTAACCTTTTTATTTTTATTTTTATTGTTTTAAAAAAGTAATCATTGCCATTTACGGCTGCCAAACAACTTTCGTGTACGATGAGGCATATTCATGAGCACTCTGTGAAGCTGGGTTTGGAAGCCTACAGATCTGATGTGCACGCTGTCGGATTACCTTTCGGTATTCCACGATGGTTCCAAGCAACACCTAGCAGGCTCTCCTGCAAATGGATAGTATTTTTGTTCCCCGGAACAGTATTTGATTTCTTCGTCGTCGTCTTTTTCTCTGTTTCCCTTATTTCTGCTGAATCTACACTGCATCCATCTCCTGGACACCACTTCATAACCGTGCCCCCCTTGAGTCAAAGGGGGCAAAGCTCAGCGATTGCTGTGACACTGGAATGTTTGTACCTTTTTGGGTAGGAGGACAAAGTAAGTTTTGAAGTCCTAAGTTTTGCTTAATGTGAGTCGAAGGAAAAGTTGCAACAGAAGTGTTAAACAAATAAAAAACAAAACATGTTTAAAACAAATTTAAAACAATGCACACTAGTTGAAAGTGTGTGTTCTAAAAGGTCCTATCAATAAGTTTGAATAGAGCAGCGACTGGAATTACTTCGGGTGATATTTTATATTAAAGTTTTGACTGTTGGATTAAATTCCATTTTGACGCTGTTGGTTAGAAGTTAACAAATTGTTTAATATGACATTCACATGTTGTGTAATAGATTTTAATTGTATTGTTCAAGGAGGTGCTTCTATCAAGGAGTTCAAGTGGAGTACGGAAAGGAATTACTTTGAGCGATATTCTATTTTCAAGTTTCAAATGTTGGATTCAATATCATTTTAAAACTATTGGTAAGACATAAACGCATTGTTTAATATGGCATTGATGTGTTGCATAATAGATTTCAATTGTGCCATTGTAAAATTTATCTTTTAATATCTTTTTTAGTTTTAAAGGATGATTTGTTAAGAAGACCATTTGAATGGGTATAGTAGGAGTGAGGAGAATGGAGGATCTTTGTATTTAAGTTCAAAGAATATTATAGTAGAAACAATCTTTTTTAGTCACTCCTTCCACTCATGATATAATCCTTAAGAAATTGCAAGATATTACAACTAATTTAAAGATATCATAGTCAATAATTATAAGATTTTTGTAGATAATTGGAGTAATATTTACAAAATAGTGCTTCAAATTTTGATAAATAATAACAAGAAATATTAATAAAAATTTCAAAACCAAAAATTTAGAAATACAACATCAAAGATTAATATAAAGTTATAAGTTAATATTGTATATTTGTTATTAATGGTGAAGTGATTATATTATAATTTATTTTTTTAGATTAAGATGATATAATTTTTAAACTTTATATATAAGTAAAAACTTATAATTAGTCTTTAATAAACTATTAGCTTATCTTAAAATGTCAAAATCTCACTTATTAAAAATAACCATAAATAATACTTAATATAATATTTAGACAATAACTTTGAATATATGTAATATACATAAGATTGATAAAAGATAAAAATTATTAAATAGTAGATGTAGAATTAGTAAATGTAAAAAAATATATTGTAAATAAAACTTTTGATACTTTTTAGAAATCATAGAAAATGTATGTATTTTAAATAATTTATTTTTTAGTAAATTATTATAATAATATAATTTAAATATATAAAAAATTAAAAAATTAAAATCATTATACATGGTTAGAATTTTTAAAATTTATAAACTAAAAATAATTGATTTTTGAAATTAAATCAAAAAATTACTGATTTAAATTTTATCAAGCCAAGTTATTATAATAATATATCTTAGACTAACATTTTTCTGGTTTTGATTGATTATAAAATGCCAAGATGTAATATCAAGTAATTTAAATATATTTTTAGAAATAATAAATATATATATATATATATATATATATATCATAATATGATTTATATGCCAATCAATTAAATATGTTTCTTTTAATAGAATAATTATTTTATATTTTGCATGCTTTGTAATTTTAACTTAGATTTTGCATATTTATAAGAAAAACTCTACAAATAAGGCACATGTAGATGTTGTTGATAGCAATCTAATTACAACCTCTACACCTTTTATGCTTTGGATTGTTGTTTCTATTTACTAATTTAAATTCAAAAAGGTCTATACATGTTGAACTTCCAAATAGTCACTTATGAATAGAAATCTGTGCCAAATTTAATATTTTTTTGTAATATCAAAATCTATTGCAAGAATTGCTTGCTTCAAATTGACTTGCCAATAAAAAATTATGTTTATCTGTTTTTATGAAATTTTGTTTAAAATATTTTTTAGGTTTGTATTTATTACTTAAATTTTCTCCATTCAATGGAATTAGAGCAAAAAATTAAATGGATTTGCATAACCACACAAATTGATAAAAATATATAGCTTCAAGTTTTTAATTATTTCTATCAATTGCTTGAAGATATATACTAGGTGTACTAAACATTAATGACAACGTTATTGTGTTATGTGGAATTTTGCTTGAGAATGTATAGAATATCTAAATTTAGAAGAGTGTGATCTTACTTTGGAATTAGATTTATAAATATAAAAATAAATAAATAAATAAAATAAATAAATAACAAAGAATAAAGTCTTTAAAAACAACTTCGCAATCTTAAACAAACCTTAAGCAATTCTAAAAAGAATCCTAATTAAATCTTAAAGGCATCACAAAAAATTGTAGAGAAATCTAAAATATGCCTTAAAGAGATCTAAAAAAATCCTAAATAATCCCTAAATAAATCCAAAAAATATCTAAAGATATCCAAAATTAATCCTAAATAAAACCAAAAGAAATCCTAATCAAATCTTAAGTAAGAAATCCAAAAAAAATCCTAGTAGTTTAAAATCTCAATAAATTTTACACTATTTTTTTTTATCTTTATTCAAATTTTATCTACACCTTAATTTACTAGTTATAAAAAAGTACACAAAGTTTTAAACAAATCTAACTTACAAATTGGAAAAAATGGATCATAATCCATTTGAGTGTTATATGTCTTTCTTCTCTAATCTAAAGCCAAATCTTTTAGCTTGAATATCTTCCATTTAAAGTATTGGCTTATTCTCAAAATTTGCATGAATAAAAACATTAGCCAAACATTAGCACACAAAATAAATTTTCTAATTAAACCAACATATTGGTTGAAATCTAAGAAATCTTTATTAGATTTCGAAATCCAATTTTTGAGATTCTAATTCACTTGAACCTCAATTAGTTATGATTGCATTGTCAAGTTGAGCTAATTTCTCAACTCACATTCAAAACAACAACTCTCACAAATCTACATTTTATCTCAAAAATCACAAAAATATATATAGCTATATAAAAAATAGTATATGTTAACAAAACAAAAAATTAGGCTTATTTTAAAAAATAATTAAGTAAAATAAAAAATGATTTAAGTGTAAAATCCAAAATTCAAAAATAAATTTAAACATATATTTAAAAAATTAATATAAAGTAATAAATTATATACCATACAATATATTACTTATTTTATGATTATATATATCTATATATATATCTATATATATATATATATATATATATTTATGAGGTTTAGTACCTTAAAAGAATTAAAATTATAGATAATTTAATTAATTTTTAATAAAACAACCTAAACATATATGTATTTCTTTTTATGTGTATATTTTTCTATGTGAGTATAATTATATTTCTAATTTATTAATAATACTATTTATTTTATAAAAATAAAATTTTATTGCTATATTTTATTTTATTTATTTTATTTTATTTATTTAAAAATTACCAATTATAATTATTACTTTTTGAAAACATCTTTGAATTTTATAATCAAGCAATATAAAGTTGAATACTATCTAATAATAATATTATTACTTATTAATTTTTTAGAACCATAATATTTTGTTCAAGTGTATCTACTACAATGTTACTTGGACTCTTGGGATTATTGGCAAGTATGGAACAAGACCTTGCAAGACCAAACTCAATACACATGATGATTGGGAAAAAGGACAATGACCAATTTATTGCTTAGTAAGAATTACATAGCCTTAGGCTCAACATTAGCTAACTTATTGTACTACTACTTGAGACTTGCTAAATATTGTGCTACTTCTTGACTACTTGCTAAATGCTTTTTTTGGCCCTTAAATATCCCTCTACCTTATTGTGTCTTTGTTAATTTTGACGGCCTCATAATAGCACCTTGTCACCTTGCTTATTGTTCCTATGGTGTACCATCAAGATACTTCGGCAGGTAATACATAGTAAACTAAAACGTTTTTGTTAACATTGAAAAAATCAATATAACAACATAGTTTAAGAAGAATACTATTTATTTTTTAAAAAACAATAATATGTTATTGTAGATATATGTAGGTATTGTATTAAATGTTATGTGTGTGATGTTGTTTGAAGCTGACAAGTAGCTCCAAGAACCAATTGATTGCATGTAATTTGACTACCATGTTTGCAATTTATTATTATAAACTACATTTTATTAGACCATGGATTGGTGTTGCAAGAATTCAAAACTAAGTTTACTTTTAAGAAAATTAACAATGATTTTTTTTTTTTTTTGAGGTGAATTCTGATTTTCAATATTTTCAGGTTGGAATTCTCTCATTGTTCCATTGTCTAACTATTATTCAGCAGCTACATCAATCTCATATTCTTTTCTACACACATCAGACTAGGTACACTTGACCATCTTTGCTAGCAAAATAATTTGAATGTACTCTGTATGAACTGATATTATCACATGAAATGAATTAAACCAAACTCACTTATTTTTCTTTATTTTAAACAATCTGAACTCATGTTTATCTTGCCAAAGCTCGTATTT